TACAACACTGTTGTATGATGGTGTATCAGGGTACAACACTGTTGTATGATGGTGTATCAGGGTACAAAAACTGTTGTATGATGATGTATCAGAGTACAAAAAATGTTGTATGATGGTGTATCAGAGTACAACACTGTTGTATGATGGTGTATCAGAGTACAACACTTGGTGTATGATGGGTGTATCAGAGTACAACACTGGTGTTGATGGTGTATTTAGAGTTTCAACCCCTGTTGTATGATGGTGTATCAGAGTACAACACTGGTGTATGATGATGTATCAGAGTACAACACTGTTGTATGATGGTGTATCAGAGTACAACACTGGTGTATGATGATGTATCAGAGTACAACACTGGTGTATGATGGTGTATCAGAGTACAACACTGTTGTATGATGGTGTATCAGAGTACAACATGGTATGATGATGTATCAGAGTACAACACTGTTGTATGATGGTGTATCAGAGTACAACACTGTTGTATGATGATTTTATCAGAGTACCAAAACTGGTGTTGATGATGTATCAGAGTACAACACTGTTGTATGTGGTGTATAGAGTACAACACTGGTGTATGATGATGTATCAGAGTACAACACTGTTGTATGATGGTGTATCAGAGTACAACACTGTTGTATGATGGTGTATCAGAGTACAACACTGGTGTATGATGATGTATCAGAGTACAACACTGTTGTATGATGGTGTATCAGAGTACAACACTGGTGTATGATGATGTATCAGAGTACAACACTGGTGTATGATGGTATTCAACAGCATTAACCAGGATGAACCAGGATGAACCAAAATGAACTAGGATGAACCAGGCTTAACCAGGATGAACCAGGCTTAACCAGGATGAACCAGAATGAACCAGGATGAACTAGGCTTAACCAGGATGAACCAGGATGAACCAGGCTTAACCAGGATGAACCAGGATGAACCAGGCCTTAACCAGGATGAACCAGGCTTAACCAGGCTTAACCAGGATGAACCAGGATGAACCAGGCTTAACCAGGTTGAACCAAGATGAACCAGGATGAACCAAGCTTAACCAGGATGAACCAGGATGAACCAGGATGAACTAGGCTTAACCAGGATGAACCAGGCTTAACCAGGATGAACCAGGATGAACCAGGCTTAACCAGGATGAACCAGAATGAACCAGGATGAACTAGGCTTAGCCAGGATGAACCAGGATGAACCAGGCTTAACCAGGATGAACCAGGCCTTAACCAGGATGAACCAGGCTTAACCAGGATGAACCAGGCTTAACCAGGATGAACCAGGATGAACCAGGCTTAACCAGGTTGAACCAAGATGAACCAGGATGAACCAAGCTTAACCAGGATGAACCAGGCTTTACCAGGATGAACCAGGATGAACCAAGACGAACCAGGCTTAACCAGGATGAACCAGGCTTAACCAGGCTTAACCAGGATGAACCAGGACGAACCAGGCAGAACCAGGATGAACCAGGCTTAACCAGGATGAACCAAGCTTAACCAGGATGAACTAGGCTTAACCAGGATGAACCAGGCTTAACCAGGATGAACCAGGCTTAACCAGGATGAACCAGGCTTAACCAGGACGAACCAGGATGAACCAAGCTTAACCAGGATGAACCAGGACGAACCAGGCTTAACCAGGATGAACAAGGCTTAACGTGGATGAACTAGGACGAACCAGGCTTAACCAGGCTTAACCAGGATGAACAAGGATGAACCAGAGTGAACCAGGCTTAACCAGGATGAACAAGGATGAACCAGAGTGAGCCAGGCTTAACCAGGATGAACCAGGATAAACCATGCTTAACCAGGATGAACAAGGAAGAACCAGAGTGAACCAGGCTTAACCAGGATGAACAAGAATGAACCAGAGTGAACCGGCTTAACCC